ATTCATTTGGAACAAGAAGAGACCCAGAATAGCAAAAGCAATTCTAGGTAACAGAGACATGGCAGCGGGTATTACAACACCCAACTTGAAACTATACTACAAAGCTACTGTGATTAAAAACAGCATGGTTATGGCAAAGAAACAGACCTGAGGACCAGAGGAACAGATTAGAAGATGCAGAAACAACTCCAGACACACTCAGCCACCCCATCTTTGACAAAGGAGCCAAACACCCTCAGTGTAGGAAAGACAGCCTCTTTAATAAATGGTGCTGGAAAAATTGGGTTTCAGCTTGTCAAAGATTAAAACTAGACCTGTATCTCTCACCATGCACTAAACTAAAATTGAAATGAATTAAAGATCTAAATATTAAAACAGAAACGGTGAACCAGCTGGAACAGACGTTAGGTAGAACTCTTGAAGACATTGGTGTAGTAAAAGAGCTCTAACAGATGAAATCTACAATGTGAGAAATTTTATAAGAGCCATAATTTGTTTTTTTCAACAAGTAGGTGACACAAAAGAGTAATGTGAAGAGATATTGTTATAAATTATCATATAAATCTTATAAGACTTGAGAGACCACCTTCATATAATGTGTGGACCTTGTTTGTATACTGATACAAAGAAACCAAAAAAATTATCATTAACTTCATTGAGGTTTTAAATATGTATTTAAAACAGAATACTTAGCTGCTAGAAATATGTGCTGACATACTCATAAAAGAATGTATACAATATCCAAGATTTCCTTTAAAAATAATACAATCTTAAAAAAACCAAAATAGTCTTTTCTAAAAAAGTAGGAGAGGAAATATGATTGGCAAAATGCTGAGGTAATGTCATGGATTCATTGCATTCACTATAATCTTTCTTGTTTTGATCATGCTAAAAACTTGAATAATGAGTTTTTAAGAAAATAATAAAATGTCTAAGATAAATACTCAAGTCTTTAATGTAAAATGTATTTACTAAATAAACTACTATCATTGGCGGGGGATTTAGCTTAGTGGTTCCACCACCCATCTCGCAAGCACAAGGTCCTGAGTTCGATCCCCGGTACCAAATAAACTACTATCATAAGTCTAATAAGTTTTTCAGAAATCTGTAGCTGTATACAATTATAGATCATAGCATATCTTTAAGTATAAGCATCTAAGTTCTCCCTTGGATATTAAAATCTCTGATAAGCCATTTTGTTTCTTCACCATCTGCACAACACTAATGTCAAGGGTACCAAGTTTACTGATACAATCATTTGATTCCTACACATAGTTCTGCTCTTCATGCAGTTCAAGAAAGTACCATCAATATTTATGTATACAGTAAAATCACTCATGAAACTGACAAGTTTTAAGTGTTAATAATTATTAGTTTCTTAAAGATTACAGAAACAATCAAGACTTAGAAAATATGATAACTATGTTAGGAAAAAAAGTCTTACCAAAATCATCTTCAACTCTATCATAAAGCTCTTTAGATCAGGAGCATGCTGCATTCTCTAGATTAAAAAATTTCCAATTAATTTGATTTGTAAAATGAATATTTTCCCAAAGGAAATAAATATAAGATAAAGTCAATGTAAAAATATGTATATGTTACCTTACCCACATTTTAAAAGTATTAAGTAACGAAAAGTACTGGTTAGCATCCCCACTGTTCCTACCAATTTCATTTTGAAAGAGTAATTAAGGCCCTCAAATCTATTTTGTGAGATATGAAACTGTATAAGAATGACACTTACAACATTACACTCCTGTTTCTTCAGTAATGTTTACTGCCAAGTTTAGCAAATCTAGCAAACCACATCATTACTTTTAGGAAGAGAGGAGGAGGAGAGGGATGTGAATGGAATGAGGAACATAAAATATGAAAATCAAGCAAATCTCACAATTTTCAAAATCTAGAGTAATAAATTAACAACGATCAATATTATATTTTTATTATTTTCTTTACCTTAAAGACCACTCAGAGTTATTTATTGTCCCCTTTACAACTGACCCATACTAATTCTAAAGAAGAGATACATTCAATAAAAAAGCTATTATAATAAAATAGCAAAATGGAAATAACTTAAGCAGGAATGTTTTAGTTATTGTTCCATTTCCTAGAACCCTTCATTCTTAAAATAACTATAGAATAAAAGGAATCTGAAAAATTTTTATATTGCTTTCTTAGAACTCTACATGATTTCTCTGCTTGAAATCAAAATACCGTGCTTTTATTTTTTTTTGATGCACTGTCCTAACATCACACAGTTCTGAACAAAGTCAAATGTAAATTTGTTTTATCATTTTAGATGAGAAAAAGTAAAAGCTAACCTACTTCAACAAATCAGGAAGACATATCATTCACATCTTAACATAGCTTTGAGTTGGTGCATATTTGCAGAACATATCAAGTATCTTGGACCTTATCTTTTTCTCCGTGGTATTTCTTTTTTGTTTGTTTTATTACAGGTAATAAATTATATCAAGAGTCTGTAAACTACAGCCCTGTATGAAGCTAAAATCCAGCTCAATACCTTTTGTAAATCAAGTTTTATTGGGATGGAGCCATGCCCATTCATTTACCACTTGCCTGTAATTGCTTAGGTGATGCTAGAGCACAGTGAAGTAGTTGTGACAAAGACTTATGGTCTACAAAGCTAAAAAAGTTACAGGCATCTTTTACAGAAAAATTTGTTGATCCTTTTGCCCACATTTACTAAAAATGAGAACAATAGTAATATTCAACTAGATTTTGGAATAAAACAAAAACACAAATTAATTAAAGGTTCTACCTGAAAAACTGGAGGGCAGGAGGAGATAAGTTATTGACTGATTAGTTTAATTATTTATCAATAACTTATTTTCAGTTTCTTGGTGAATTAGAGAAAAAGTTTTACATTTTATAGCTATATTTAGTGCTTATTAACAAATTTTTTTCAGGCTACTCTGGTATCTCAGTCCATTCTTAAACTTTAGTATACAATACAAATAGTTATGAGAATGAGGGTTAAAGGGAAAAGAAATAATTTAAACATTCCATTAAAAACCTGTTATACCACTGATATGACAGCTTATGTTCTATGTATCAAACAGTTTATCTCCTATACAGAACTTTGTAACTTGGTTATGTTTTATGTGAATGAGTATCATTGTCAGTTATCACACATACCTTGCCTCTAAGGTAGAAAAATATATGCAATCAGAAAAAAAAACCCATGAAAAATAAAGCAGCAAAAAAAATGCAAATTTAACATTTATTTTTCTACAAGAGGCACTGCATTATGTTCAGTTGCCTCAACAGCAGTGTTTTTTGCTTGTGTCTTTAATCTTTCAAGAAATTTTCCAGTAGAATAGCCTAAATATTAAGAATAACTAAATTACTCGGTGCGGCAGTCACAGCTATAATCCCAGTCACTGGAGAGGTCTAGGCAGGAAGGTCACAAGTTTTAGTCCACCCTGAGCAACACAGTGAGACCCAGTTCAAAATAAAATGGAGGAGAGTTTGCCATTCAGCACTCCGAGTTCAATTCCCACAACTGTCCCCCGCAAAAAAAATAAATTAATTAATCCTGCCTATATCACACTTTAGTTACTTTTATTTCCTCTCATTAAGCAAGCACTCATGATCCTAAGTGAATCCCTCACATCTTTTCTGTTGCTAATCTAGAGCTACAAACCCCACTTGGCTGAAGATATCTTTGGCTCAAAATGAGTTCTGATTTTTTTTTCTATCACCACTATTTAGTCTCAGCAAAAAAATCATCCAGCAATTAGTGGATTTGGGTAAGAGCAAAGGATGTGAAGAACATAAAGTCTCTGGAATGTAAATCAGTTTCAACACAACTGCTGCCTAAAGATCTGCTGATAATTCCAGAAAATATTTTATATAATGCATATATTCATAAAATATTTGATAGCTAGTGCTGAAACCAATGAACCTTAGCAATTATTAAACTAAGTTGTAATAACATTCTGCAAAGCAGGTCTTTAAAGAGATGAATTTAAATTTAAATTTAGTAATTTCTACTTTTCATTAAAATAAAACCTTCTAAAAGGCTTACCTGTTCGACTATTTGATGGTATCCATTCAGTATAGTTTTCAGCCGCCAACTACATAGTAATCTAAAATTTTAACAGAACAAAAGAGTTTATTCATTTTTCAGAATTAAAATGAGAAAACTTATTTGTATGCTAACACAAACTTGTACAATCAAAAGAATGACATAAACATAATTCTGACAAGTTAATAAAAATTTTATCACTTATATTGTTGAAAGTCTTGTCTTCAAACTGTCAGCATTAATTTTATTTTGAGATAAAAATAAATGCAATCAGTCAATGACAAACAGTACATCTGTTTTTAACTTATACAAAGCAGTTTCCTACTGAACTAGTTTCTTTTCCAAGGTAGTTTAAAAAATAAGTTTTGATCATAATATATCAAACTTATATTTGAAAAAGCATATATAGCAATATATTCTTCAAATTCCAGATTAATGTAACTAAAAGATACATACTTTAGTTCGATCCCCCCCCCCCAAAAAAAAGATAGATACTTTGAACTGTATGGGTAGTGATAATTTAAAGTTCATCCATCTATTAGCTCAACTCATCTGTACTTTCAACATGGGTAGGTAAGCAACTTTTCTAAGGAATTTATCTAAAAGTAGTTAAGTCACTCTGAGTTTCCCCTTCTAGAATCTTTTTAAGGCAGCACAAAGCCTACCATTCTTGATTTGTTAAACTCTATACCTAACCTTATCTCCTCTTGGCAGACTATTTCACTCAACTATCCATAGATAATGATCTCTCCAAATGTGTTTTCCATTCCTTGCTACCAACTTAGTCACCTCATTCATTATCCCTTGTACTATCCTTATTTTTTGCTAGTTTTTCTCCTTAATTTGCTTAACTATTTATCTTCTTTAAAAACATCATTAACTCTTCCTTGAGTGCACACCCTCGTCTATGGTCTCTACTTTTCTTCAACATAGTTTACACATTTCCATTTCCCTTCTACGCACTCATCCAGTTCAAAATCCAACAGGACTTGGTTCCTGCCATTGCACAAAACCTATTCACACCTAGCAAGATCTCTTTGCAACACTCAGCACTGCTAACCATTCCTTTCTTCAACTTCTCTTTATTTAGCTTCAGAGACACACACTACTTTTCAAATTTTCCTTTTAGTTTTCTGGAAGTTTCCTTGTAGTTACCAGTCCTTTAAATGTTGATATGCTCTCAAGGTCCCTTCACTGGCCTTCTCTTCTCACCCCAAAGATACAGGCACTAGAAAGTCTATTCCTCCTGACTCATTTTCTCAACCAACAGTCAATGTTTGTATCTAGTTAACTCCAGGTCTAAACTGGTAATATGGGTCTTCCCACATTATATTATTATATTACATATAAATTATATCGGTTAAAAATTGGGAAGAAAATACTAATCCTTTTGTATTCTGGCTTTATAATATTCCTATTTAGTTCTTATTAGGAAAGTATATTTAATTACTGTTTACTGCATTGAAGATAAAATATAATTAATACATTACCTTTGAGAAACATTTCCATAGCAGGGAAGTTATTTACAAATGCCACAATGGTTTGGAAAAGTCCAGTGTTTCAAGGTTTATTTGACAGCATTTGTTGGTAAGCATTTTAGGTAAAACTCTAGTCAGTGGAATCAGTTTATACCAGATGGTCTATCCCACCGTGTATGTGTATATAACTAAACACTTCATCACCTTGCATTCTTCATTTGTAAATCTTCAGGCAACAAAATTCTAAGGTGGAAGTCTCTTCCCTATGGAAAATATTAAAAAGGTCCATTCAAATTGTCATCTTTCCCGTAATGTTAATAGATGTTAAAGACAGAATCACATTTTAAAAAATAGTATTCTTTTATTTTTGAAAAAGTTAACAAATTTATCCAAAATTTTTATACTTGAAATATACAACAAACAGCATATTGCATGGGGGCAACCTCAAAAATGTATATCAAAACTTTATTCTTATTGGGAAATCAAAATACTAGGTAAGAACTTGTTAAAGAAAAAAGAACTCACACAATCACAAGAAATCCTGCACTATAAAACTGTTAATAGACACATAAAAGAAATTTAAATGTTTTTAAGAAATAAATTTACAAAAAAAATTTCTTCAAATTGCTCTGGATATGGAAGGTACAAAAAAAGTCACAATGTAAAAATAAAAACATATGATACATTCCAGGCTTCATGTTTGTAACTTATTTCCTAAATTTTAATAAAATGAAATTATATTGCTACACAATCTATTTAGACATGAAAGAAATATTTTCATAGAATATATTTAATTCTCCCATATTAATGCACTTCTAAGAAATAAAATCAACAGCATATTAAGTTATTTATTTTAACCTAAGTATTAACTAACTATGCATTTGAATATAGAAAGTTTTATCCAAGAGTCTTTCTAAAGAAAGCAAAGAGTGTAAGGAAAGGAAAGAGTGTTCTCTGAAAAATATATTCAGCTTTACTTTCTTTGGAAAGTGAATGGGTAAGCAGTTTAAACTTTCTAACTTAAATAGGATAATACATGTGAAATTTGAGCAAAAATAATCAGAAAAAGACAAACAGAAACGTAATCTTTTATTCCAACAGTATAAAATGAAGAGTAATAAAATTCTCGAAAAACAATTATCATGTGGAATTTTAGCAGTTTCCCTCAAAGCAAATTCAAAAACAGTGAAACACAATTAAACGTACCCCATAACCTTTACTTTCATAGTAATATTACAGTTCTGACTTTCATTACATTTAAATGTCCTTTAAAAACTGAAACAAAATGTACTACTGACCTTTTCAAAAGGTCAAGTAACAATAATTCACTATTTCATTAAAGCCCTAAAAGGTATTATGTAGTAACTTTCACCTAACTTTACAGACATTCCATACATAGGTGTAAGAACAATCTGGAATTCACAATTTACATGAAAAATAGTAAAGAAAAAAATTCCAAAATGCCTTACTTGTGGAATCAAGCCATTTTAAAAGGTCAAATGACATGTCACATGCCACAATACTTTTATGATTCAAGAATACGTCCAAAGTTAGGATTTTATAGTTAAAACATCTAAAAATATTAACTATTCTCAAATTGCAGATTTTCTAAGTTTGCTGGGAACAGAAATAGTAAAAGTAGTTTAACTCTCAATTTCCTTCACCCTCCCAAAAAGTATCCAGATCAATATTATGGACATTTAAAAACCACAAAAACCCCATGTTTCAACCAGAAAAGAGAACACAATCACTTGTAGAAAGAAAAATATAGACCATGTTTTAGTAGAGCACATGCTGGGCCTTTTTCAGCAGTGAAAGTTAAAGTGTTAGCAGGGCATGAATTTCAGAAAAAATTCATGGAAGACAGAATGGGGGGATTGGACTAACATTAATAAAGATTTGGTAGATCAAAGCACTAACTGCAAAAAGGAGACCTCATATGAACACAAAAATCAAGAAATAGTCTTGGAAAGGAAAAGTTTTAGAGTAGAAGATGGTATAAAGGTAGACAGAGCTAGGGATTTAGCTCAGTGGTTCTGCTGCCTGCCTTGCAGGTGGCAAGGTTCCGAGTTCGATCCCTGGTACCAAAAAAAAAAAAGGTAGATAGAAATACGTTTTAGAAACTGGGTCTTATGAGGAAAAAGAAATAAGTGTGGGAAAATTAAGCTTTTATATGAAGAAATACGACCATACCACTCTCCCCAAAACACTTTCCCAAAATTATCCATTAAATAAACTGCATGTTGCTTCACTAACAAAAGAGGATATTTTTGAACTAGGAAGTATAAATAGTAAAAATGCTCACAAAGATGTAGCCTTTATTAATCCAAAGTTACTGTGACAAAAAACAGAAGATGAGAATCAAACGTTTCTCGTTAATGACTTATTCCAGGAGAACAAAAATCAGAAACCACAAATAAATTACAATACTGAATAAAATATCATTAATTGTTTCAAGACAGATTTGGACATTTAAAACTAAGACAAGAAAGTATATAATTTTTTTTAAAAAGCAATGAATGAGTTGACAAAAGAAAAATGAGAAAGACAAAATCATATTAAACTGGAAGAATAAATTTAAAAGTTGCCCAAAGAATAGAGTTAATAAACATTTCATGGGAGTGAAAAATAAAGCAAGACAATTACCAAATGAGAAAAAAATTAAAGATTAGCTAAGAAAAAGCTGAAAGTAGAAAATAGGCAAAGAAAATCCAATATACATATAATTGGAGGACATGAAAAAGAGAACAGAATGAATATTTAAACTTATAATGTAAGTATATTTTTCAGAAATCCACATATCAAAAAAGACAAATGGATACAGGAGAAAAATGAATCATAATGACCCACTCTTCAAATATACCTTAATAAACAGATTTTAGACATTCTGGGAGGCTGAAATAGAAGGATAGCAAGTTCAAGCACAGCCTGGGCAACTTAGTGAGGGCCTGTCTCAAAAATTAAAAACAACAGCAAAACGGCTGAAAATGTAGTTCAGTGCAAAAGTCCTGGATTCAATCCCCAGTACTGTCAAAAAACAAACTTAATTTTTTTTTTTTTTTTTACTTAAAATTTAATTTTAAAACAAACAATAAAGAAAAAGTCCAGAGCCTCTGGGAAAAACATCCAATAACTTATATAGCAACAGAATGAGACTGGTGTCAGTCTTCGCACACCACGATGAAAAAAAAAAATGAAATCAAAATTTCAAGAAACTTAAGAGAACGTCTGCTTGTCATGAGGAAGTAACAGAGGTAGGATTTACCCTCCTATCTTAATTTTAAAACTAGACTAAAAAAGAAATAATGATCTTCAATAAACAACAGGGACCACAGGATACTGATCCTTATAAGAAAAGAAACAAATGGCAAAAATAATTGTTCAGCCTTACTGCCTGGAGAATTTTCAGGCCACAAGATAGGGACTGGGAAACACAGCCAGATATCCTCTTTGATTTGAGGAGAGAGAAATGAGCTAGGAGAGGCCAACACATGTAGAATTCACTAGGTGAAGTACCAAAAGAGACACATGGAGAGGAGACAACTACACACAAAGAAAACTCCAGAAAACTTCAGATTTCTTGCCAGGAATCTTCAGTTGAGAACTAGTGCCACATGGATGTGAGAAAAGACACTCAAAGTTAGGGCATCATAAGAATAGAGTGTACAAATATTCTAGGAAGAGTACGTACATAAAGTACAGTACTCAGAGTACTGCCTCATGGGTGCAGCCAAATTAAAACTAAATTTTGCTGTGGTTTTTCCTAACAAGGCTTAAAGACAAACCTTGAAAAAAATTAAATTAGCAATTAACTGCAGCTCACAATTCTCAAGAATAGAGAATAAAAATAGCTAGCATTCAACAGGTTGAATTCAAGTCTGGTACCCAATCAAAATATACCAGGCATATAAAGAAGAAAAACAATGTCAAGTTCCCAAAAAGAAAAACAAACTGAAAACTATTCCAGGTTGAACAGATATGACAATTAAATGTAATGTTAATTTTACATTAGAGAGTGAGGGATGGGAGAAGTATAAAATATGTAATTGTCCCATTAATAAAACTTGAATATGGACTCTGCTTAGATAATGGTATTGTATTATGACTAAATGTCCTGATTTTAGTCACTGTACTGTGATGATGCATGAGTGTGTCCTTGTTCTTATGAAATGCATGCTGAAGTATCCAGGGATAGAGGGGTACTATGTCTATGATTTAATTTCAGTTGGTTCAAGAAAATAATATGTATATATACCCACCCACAGTCTACACTCAGAATAAGTAAAATAGGGCAAATGTGAACTGCTGAATTTGGGCAAAGGGCATACTCAGATTCCTTGATCATCCTTGTCAGTTTTCTATAAATCTGAAATATGTGGAAAATATTTTTAGAAAATTAAAGTGTTTAGGTTAAGATTTAAATAAGCTGCTTAAAGAAGGCCCAAATTTGAATGGTAACTACAGCTAAGGTCATAAAAACTATTCATCTAATTCTGATGGCAACACCTTTTCTAAGGCGCTTTAGCAGATATAGATGAATGATACAAAACATGTTCTTTAAAGTTCCTAAAATTAGGTATAACATACTTCGTAAAAAGCAAAAAGTAAATACTTTTCCAACTTTTCTAAACATTGTGTGAAAGTAAATCATGCTTTTAGCTAGGTAAGTGGGGAAAATGAGGTACGTTGAGGAGACTTCTAAACATATGGCAATTCCTAGGATCTGATCCCTCTTCTTAATGAGTATGAGCCCTGGAGAGTGGGGTAACGTTTCAAGAAGACGGGTACAGTGTTCAGAAAGGAAAACTCTGCACTCAAAATCCTAACCCACACTGTCTGGGAGCAATGTGGAGAGGAAAAATCCAAGAGTGGAATCAGACAGCCTGAGGCTAAGGATATCTGGATGCACCTGTGGACAACTTTCTTAACCTTTCCAGATTCCCATGCCTTGATTTCTCAACTATAAAATAATGACTTTTTAAAAAAAAAAATTCTTTCCTTAGCAAAATTCTTTCCTTATTGTTACTAAGGCGTTTTGTGAACTTCAAAGCCCTGCACATTTAACTACTGTGTGTGTAATAAGCGACGCCTGGAAGCAGCCAAAACAATTCTTTCCGCTTTTGTCAAGATTTCCTACAATATCCCAACTAGAGGTGCTCAGGAACACCAAGAGACTCCGCAGTACCAAAGTACTGTTTCTACCGCAAACACGAATATAGTCAGTCAGGTCCCCCGAGACCCTGTGAGGGAGAGGGGTCGGCGGTGAAGGACGAGTTCCCGCGCGGTACCCACTCCCAACCCTCCTTCCGCCCAGATTCACAGCCCCTCTCCGCCCCCACCAGCCGGTCGCTAACCCCGCCCGCAGAGGCTACCCAGGGGCGGGGTTCGAGAGCAACAGCCGGGCCGGTACCTGAGCCGAAATAAATCCCTCATATACAGTTTTCGTCCGATTCTGGGGCAGAAGCAGCGGGAACTGGCGCAACAAGTCTGCCTCCGTCAGCGCCATGGCTCACTGGCCGCGGAGCCGCACATGCGCAGTCACACAAGCGCTGGGGAGCCTAGGGCGGAAACCGGGTTTGGCGGGAAGAGCCTAGCACTTTTGCTGGCGGAAGTAAAGTAGGGCCTGCCTGGCCTCCAGAGAAGGTGAAAGGAAGATTGCTCTCCGGGTCACAGATCTGATGGTGACAATCATTCTAGCCTTAATTGTTCCAAGAACACTTTTGGTGATTAAGACTTTATTGAAAAGCTGCTACAACTTTAGAGTGACATTTCCTTCAGCGTGAGATAGCTTTTACATTCTGCATGTTGTGCCATTTCTACAATGAACTTATCCCACTTCTCTTTGTTCGCTATTCACCTCACCTTTGCCCTCAACATACACTAGTAAGTTATTCTGTTTATAATAATGCAATATATTATAATATATTCAATATAGCATATACATTGTATTACAATTCTGTGGCTTGCCATTTTAGTCAGATATTCTATTTCAGAGACATACATAAGAGATTCAAGTCAATACCGGACTGGGTTCTGGAGTGCTATAGTCACAAATGTGTAAGGCAAAACATGAAGGAACGGGGCTCAGGGATGTAGCTCAGTAGCACTGTGCCTGCCTGGCAAGCGTTAAGGTCCTGAATTCGATCCCCGGTACATAAACAAAACAAAACATGAAGGAACTTTGCTGATGGACTTGGTTACTTTAATTTTCTCAGACAATCCTATATAAACATTTTTCTAACTCAAGAATGGTATCCATTCCCATTTGCTAATGGTTGAAGAAGCTTATTCATATTTACCGTATGGTTATTTGATGTTAGTATTCAATTTGTAAGCCTTGTTTGCCAAACATTGTAGCATGTCAAAGGTTGTGCAAAGATGAATAAGATATGCCTTCTTTAATCTTTATTGGCCTAAGAATGGACCTGGGTTTGTCACAAAATTCTGGTTAATTAGTGAAAACAAGAATGCTGCAACAATGGCAAGATACACATTAAACCAAAGCAATAGTTCTCAAAATGTGATCCTCAAACCAGTAACATTAGCATCACCCAGGAACTTTATAGAAATGCACATTTTCACCACTAATGAGGGTCAGTACATAATCCCCAGAATATGGCACCTTAGCTTTTGAGAAAATAATAAAACCAAGTAAGCCCACTCTACTCTATTCCACCCTTCTGTCAATGCAAGTCATAGGATTTTCAATGTAAAAGTGCCCTCTGTATTCCTAGGAGAAATGAATAGCTTTATCTCTGCAGACACAAGGACTCAATGAAGAATCTGAATACTTACTAAATTCCCCTTCAGTTTCTACCATTAAATCATATTCTCTCCGATCATACTTCCTTGTGACTGCCCATTCTTCATTATAAAAATACACAAGTTTCTCTGTTTCTTTGGTTCTTCATTTATGAGGTTCCCATGTCATATAAAACATATTAAATAAATTTGTATGATTTTCTCATGTTAATGTCTTTTGTTATAGTGACCTCAGCCATGAACATAGTAATGGGAAAGATATTTCTTATTCCTCACATGCCCCTAATTCAGACCTAGAGAACCAGCTGTGGGAACAGGGCCCAGAAATGTGTATTTTAATTATCCTTCCACATTATTCTGGTATATGCTAAAGTTTGATAATCTCTGCATGGGTATGATATTAACACTTGCTCATCGAAGCAACTCAGTTATTACGGATGACCATATTACATATTTTGTGATGCAAATAAAGTGAAGTTTGTACACAGTGGGATCAATACAAATATTAAGACTCTCTTTAAGCACTTTATAATGTTTCTGAGACTTAAGACCTTTGCCATTTTCAGTAACTCAGCTCTCCCTACCATCATGCATTCCCCATAGAACCTCTACCCTTCCTTCAACACCCTTAAATGTTGTCACTTCTTGGAAACTTTTTTTATCTTCTCAAAATTATTGCTTTCTCCAATTATTTAGCACATTTCCTGATACATTGTAGGTGTTCATCAACTATTTGTTAAATGTTATTTGCCATTTGCTAAATGCCTTCATCTATTCAGACTGCTATAACAGAAGTACTATAAACTAGGTGGCTTGTAAACAGCAGAAATTTATTTCTTATAGGTAGGAAGACTAGAAGGCTAGGATTAAGATGCAATCCAAGATTTGGTGTCTGGAGAAGGGCCGCCTCCTAGACAGAAATCATTTCCTTTCAGTTTTACATGATGCTCACCACTACTTGATATACTTGCTCCATGTAGCTCATAGACAAAGACAGAGGCTCCTTGCTTTTGAGTCCTCATGATTAACTTTTTAGACTTAGAGATTTCCAGAAATTTTACTTAGATATCACCTTAATTTTTAAGAAAAAAACATTCAAGTCACTGTTACGAGTAGTTGAATTTGTAAATGAGCATTCTCTATTGATAAAGTAATATATGAAATCTAAGGAATAAAGTGAGAAATAAAAAGGCTTATTTAATGACTCAATCATTTTCCTTAATTGTTGACAAGTAAGTGGTGAATACTCTGACAATTGATATTCATGAGTTGTGCTGGGATCATTATTTACTAGAAGCTCACTTAAAAAAAATACACAGAGGGCCGGGGATTTAGCTCAGTGGTTCTGGTGCCTGCCTCGAAAGCACAAGATCCCAAGTTCAATCCCCACTACCAAAAAAAAAAAAAAAAAATACGCAGAGAATACTCAATGTATCTAAAGATCAGAAACCCCAAAATTACTTTTACCAACAACATGATTTTAGTTTTGGAATTTCTAAAACCTGAGGATCTCTACGAAATTTCAAGCTCTTCAAGACATTCTGGGTATGATTTCTTTTATATACTATATCACACACACACAAAAATTGCGCCATTTAAATGTTCTTTCCCTCAGGAGAACTGTATATTTCATGTATTTTAACTTTTTAAAAAATCTAATAACATTTTATTTTGAGGAATGAAAAATACAAGTTCTACATGATACATTTATTACTATAACATATTAACATAAATACACTGTGTTACAATACTAGCAGTAATTACTTTGGGGAAGATGATAAGGGACAAAGAATGAAGATAGTGGCCAGAGGAAGTTTGTATCTTTTTTGTGTGTGTGTGTTTGTTTCTTGGGTTTTTTTGGTACTGGGGATCGAACTCTGGACCTTGCACTTGCAAGGCAGACGGCGGAACCACTAAGCTAAATCCCCAGCCTTGTATCTGTTATATTAAAGGTTTTTTTAAATTAAAGATTTAATACTAATGGCATAATCAAATTTTTTTAAAAAGTAGGGAGGGATTGTGAACACCACTGTTTTAACAACTGCAACTCTTTCCTGTTTCGGCTTCAGTCAGACTAGAGGCATGAGTGTGCTGATCCTTTCTTCTTTGAGAGCTTCTTCAGCATTTGATTGACCTTGACCTTATCAGACTCCAAACATGGAAATTCAAATCCCTATCCACTTTTCCTGAATTCTAGCTGTATTATGACTATAATAGTACATATTTGGACTGAGTTCCTTGACTGAGACTTGGCATTAACTCCATCTCAGGCTTCAAAGCCTGTTTTCTCAATAGTTCTGGTTCATAAAGCTCTTTCAGATTTTTTTTCCCTCAAATTCTTTTATTGGTACATTTTAGGTATACAATACATTTACATTTATCATTGGGAATTTGTACTTCTTTACATAATGTATCTTGGTTCTTATTTTTTCCCCATGTCCCTGCCCTCCCTTCAACTCCTCCACCCCTCCCTGTTTACAAAGACTTTGTTTCCATTTTTTCATTTTCTCATATTTTTTTCCTTTCCCTTCTTTTCTTTCCCCTACCCTTCCCACTTCCCCTACCCCTTTGGACCTTTTCTTCCTATTTCACATTATCAATTATTCATTTTAATCCTTATTTACCCTTTCAGTTTCTCACACCAGGAAACTATTCGGTATTTACACATGCGTGTCCTATTTATTTCACTTAAGCATATGGCCTCAATGTGCATCCATTTAGCTATAAATGTCTGTAGTTTGTCATTCTTTATCCCTGAGTAGTACTCCATTTTATGAAAAATCAACATCTTTATCCAGTCTCCAGTTGATGGGCACTTGGGCTATTTCCAAGCTTTAGCTATTACAAACTGTGCCACTAGAAACATGGGTGTGCATATATCACTGTGGTATGATTCTTTTAATTCTTTTGGGAAGACATCCAGCAGGGGAATAGCTGGGTCAAATTGGACCTCTAATCCTAGCTTTTTGAGGTATCTCCATATGATTTCCACAGTGGTTGCACCAGTCTATACTCCCACCAACAATGCAGAAGCGTTTCTTTCTCCTCACAACACTGCCAACATTTGTTATTGGTTGATTTCTTGATAGCAGCCATTCTTTCTGGGGTGAGGTGGAATCTCAGTGTTGTTTTCATCTGCATCTCTCGAA